AAGATTCAGTTCTAGCCTTGTGGCCAATCCGAGCCGAGTAGAGACGTCCTTGTTACCTTGTTACTGAGACCCAAATCCAGCGCTGTGAGAGTCTTGTTATATCGATTTAATGATATTACGGCGTCGCGACTCCGCAAGGGGACGGTCTTCAGCCAAGAAGACTGCCTCCTGTACCCAGTCCGTGTCTACACCACGGCCACGTGACTGTGCGTGAGTTACTCCCCCTGTCTGTCGTAAATGACGTCCTTATAAAGCTCCCCAAGACGCTCACCATACGTCTTCGGCGGCGCGGAAACCTCCGGGATACTTTACTCTCCGTCTTCCCTGCTTCAGCGAACCGATGCCAGAACTGATCACCGACCGATCATCAGCATAATAGAAATGATAGAAGCAGAAAAGCAGATATCTTGGCAACGGGCGCACACTAATTAGTCGTCATCCCGGAATTAGTAATCAAGACGTAATGAGCCCGTAACAAGGGTCTGGTGTTCGTACTCCCAGGGCCGGCTGGGTAATTTAGCCTAATGAGGAGGCCATCAGAATCCATTTCTGTTGATTAATAATCAATTGTGGATGTAATTTCAGTGTCGTCTCTGGGAGAGGAGACAAAGTGCGTTTCACCCATGGGAACGTCACGCTAGAAATTGAAGCCGTCTGTCTCCACGCTACACGTGCTTTACACAATCATCTCGCCAACCGTGCGTATCAGATGGGGTGTACGACAAACCAACCCGCGCGTATCACCCGTATATAAACCCCGATACATCCGTATCAGCACCACACTACCGACATTTGTATCACCATGATAAACTCGCCAGCGTCTTTCATATTTTTCAGGCACGTAATTATTTATTTATTCATCCATTAAGTTTTTCTCAATCAATTCCAAATTACTTCTCTCTCGAAAAAGGTCAGATCTATTGTGGATGTCTCTCGTATTGATTCATGAGTGATTTGACATATTGATAATATGAATTACATGACGTATGAATAGTATGAGCACACATAAAAGCTTATCCATAGAATAATCAGACGATCTAATAATACACAACACCGGAACTCGAGCTTTTGACTGGTTTATTATAGGTTAGGCCATGTTGATTTGATTATATGGATGACATCCTCCGGGAGCCCCAAAACTGATGCGCGCGTGCGAATAAAAAAAAAGTTTTGCAAAAAAAAAAAGTTGTTTTCATTATGAAATCTACGTGGTCATGAGGGTTGAACAAATGGGACAGAATATGGTTTGGCGAATAATCTAATCTTCAAGTTCATTTCCTTACAATTTCGTCTTTTTTCGTTTGATTTTGGCATTGTACGACATTGGTATAGTTTTTACTTATTTTTTTGCAACTTACGGTATATTTTTGCTCATTTTGCAACTGTTTTGTACGATTTACAGTATGGTTGAAAACTTTTTTTTTTGGAAACGGCCGAAAATTCATGCGCGCGCGGATGTCATCCATATAATCAAATCAAATCAACATGGCCTTAGGTACCTAAGAGTGTTCCATCTACAGTATGTACCAAGATCAATCGGTAATAAGAATTAGTTTCAGGTGACCATTGCCCTGTTCTGTCCAATGTTATTCTTCTTCTTGGGAAGATATTTGTTTTTAGACATAAGAAATATTCTTTAAATCTGTCCGCTTTCAAATCCTTTGTTTCCTATATTTACAAACTAGAATTGAATATTGCATACAGACAAGATAAAGTACATAAACATAAGGGAAAATGGAGAAATTCTATACTGTATTTTTTGGTTAAAGATAGGTACACGTAGTAGGTAATTGTTACAGATATACATTTATAGGTAATTTGCGATTTATTCTAAAGGATAAATGATATATTTTTGTCAAAAGATTTAAGAATATCGGCTTTGGGGTTGCTAAACTGTTAACATTTCTGTCCCCGGTTTATTATTATTTGTTTTGTGGTACTACATGTGTCAGTTATAAAATTTGCCATGCTTTTTTTGTTTCATTTATCTGAAAAAACTCAAATAAAGAAAGATTAAAAAAAAGAATTAGTTTCAGTATCAAAGCTAAGCGTTTCCTAGTATGTATTATATCATATTCAGTGTTGCTTCCATGTGTGAGAAGTACTTTGCTATTGTTGTGGGGGTGGACGAGGGTGAAAGTTAAGGGCATCTTAGCAATAAAGATAAGTTCATATTTCTAATGGCTTTAGACAAACCTTCGATTATAAAACACATCTGTACTTATATCTACATCGTTACTAAGAAGCGAGAAGAAGCCGAATTATCGTAATTATTAGACTATATGTCCATAGTACATAGAATTAGCACTAGCTTGTACATTGTATATATTCATTGCAAACTGTGACGTCTTTCCTGTGACCTGTACTGAAACCAGTGGGTGTTTGCGTATACGTACAATAAAGGTCTTCATTCATTCATTAATATGCCAAATATAAAAGAAGGTTGTAATGTCGAGGCGTTTCCTTGTGTGTATTTCGGTACAAATATCCAGCTAAACCGCTGTTACACGAGTTCTCTGATCTGAATTCGAACTTCATACACCCACCCGGGTGGCCCTGTCCCTGTCACACTGATTTCACGGTTATTATTGACAGTTTTACAGATAACAAGGAGTTATTACTTTGTACCTGATTCGCCAGGAGCGAAGTGTTACGCTGGGAATCGAGAGAAGCGTTGATAACACGATCAGGACGGAGGATCACTTTACAATTCAGTTATTGTCATTACTTTCACCAAGAAGGTTATGTTTTCAGAGGCGTTCGTGTATGTGTGTGTGTGTGTGTGTGTGTGTGTGTGTGTGTGTCTGTAAACACGATAACTTGAGAAGGCCTTGATGGATTGTCTTGATACTTGGTAGGTGGGTAGGTCTTGATGAGACCTGAAAATGATTAGATTTTGGACCCCCTAGTGGCTTGTTATGGTACTGCAACTGAACTTTCGGTTTTGATATCTCATGATCTAGACATGCTAGGGTGACGAAATTTGGATGGTCGGTAGCTCTTGTGTTGGGGAAGAAGTGACGTGAGTTTGGGCCCCCTAGCGTTCTTGTTATTGGTTAAATCAGGGGGAATAATCTATAATTTGTCAGTCACAACGATAAACATCATTTGGCGAACTCTAGTTACCTATGTGATGTTTTGTTCATGCAAGGAGCTACTGTTTGGGTACTTACAATACTCTGTCGGCAACTGTAGTGAGAATGGATACCAGTCCCGGATACCATATTGTATCTGCATTAGGTCACAGCAAGTAATTTTTTATGAATGACACCAGCGGGCGCATGCATTAATTTTTGCCTGATTTTGGAGAAAAAAAAAACACAATAAATTTTGTTGCCCTCTGACAGTGGTCAACAAAGATGTACATGTCTGTTGCCATATGCCGGAACGTGGATGGCCAAGTAAATATAAAAAGAGGAGACAAGACAAGGCTCTGGTTTATTGTTTTGTATTTTACTTTGATGCAGTGATGTATTTCATTCCTTTTATATGTGATATTCCCACTGAATCAAAACCATGTGTATAACGATTGAAAACTTTTATTTTTCAGTGACAAATGGATGTTGTAATAGTTGCAGTAAACTTAGCACAATGCAAGTATCATGTCTTGTTGACCCTTGAACGTGCACTTTCATTTTTCCTAATGAGGTGGACAATTCATCATTTTCTTTGCATTTTCTCCTTTCTTCAAGGTTTATGTTGTCAAAATTTGAAAGTGTAGGAATCTTCTTTTTTTTGTCCGCCTGGTTTTGTTCCCCCCCCCCCATCGCATTAGATTTGGAGTCGCATTAGATGCGGAGGATGTCATCCATAAAACTTAATTGCTGTGGCCATACGTGAACTAGCTTGGGTGTCAGAGTATCAGCCTGGCCCTCCGATTTCTTTGGTTTAAAATAATTGGCCCGTGAAGCAGGTCGGAATCACAAGCCATCCAAAAATTATCATTTACATAATCAATCTAATTTAGAGATGACAGACCAGTTTAAGTCATTCTTGTAATTTTTCATTGTGGTTTCTTTTATCGCAGATGAAATATCATATGATAATAAAGAGACGTAGGCCATTTAACAACCATTTTAAAAGCGTTGATAAGTTTATTCATCTCAAGAAAGGAGAATCATGTCTGTTTGTTATCATATGCATGAAGAAATTGTTTAAAAACTGCTTTTGAATAAATTATGTTGATGAGCTTCAGTGTATATAAAGCAGTTGCTAGTACATCTGTACATTGTACCAAGGACATTATACTGTATAATGTCCTTGATTGTACTATTCTTTTGTTTGTCGTTTGTCATCTAAACATTTATGGGGTGCATATCGGCAGCTGTAGTGGGTCTGGATTCAAGGCTACGACTTTGTGTCTGCATGGCCTGGTTACCACCCTCCATAGGTGACATGCCAGGTCTAACTCTGTATCTGTTCTGTCTCTGAGAAGTATTAGTTCGCCTACTGGAAAGATACAGAACTGGAGGCTACATTAAAATAACGCGTTAAAAACTCTTTCCCATCGCCGCGGGGCCTGCACAGGAGGCTACTGGCATGCAGGGAACCGGCTTGCGCTAATTCGTGTGGACGGGCTGGCAGTACTCCCAACATAGATATCGGGAGCTGGCGATGGTCTACCATCACGATGGTGTGACTGCCAAACTAGTGTCTTCTTTGGTTTAAAGTTTGGCCCGTGAAGCAGGTCGGAATCACAGGCCATGCAAAAATTTCATTTGCATAATTAATGTACTGTGAATGGAATGCAGACTACTAGAGGCCAATACTGCGTTTGTGTATTGTGGTTTCGTATATCGCCGATGAAATATAATATCATGATAAACAAATATAGATCAACTAGCAACCCTTTCAATGTGCTTGTAAAATTAAATTTCTCATAACATGATAAAGTATACCTATTCAGTATGATATACATGAAGAAATTGTGTCAAAACTGCTTTTCACATAAATTATGTTGATGAGCTACAATGCATCCGAAGATACTAGCAGTTACTTTCATTTGGGCGTTTGCCATGTAAAAAATAAGACTCACGAGGTGGATTGAATAAATATCTTGGTATCATTCCTAGATATTGGAAACGAATTTTCCTCCTGGACAGGGAGTTTTGAAACAAAATTTCTGGGGACAAGCAGCCGCTATTTTCTCACCCAAGCAATACCCCCTTGATCCAAGCAGATCTTTTGGTGGCAAAGACAGTACTCAACCAGTAAGACAGTATCCACCCGTCATGGTCACCGAAATATCTGCTAGAAGATTTCCTCTCTCACAAGATTTTTACTGTTTTTTTTACGAAAGATGTGACAGGTGCACCCACCTGTTAGGATATCCCATAATCCCCAAAAGAACGCATGCGCAACAGCAGCCAAATCAAGAAAATGGCGGGAGCTGAAAATGGAGAAATCGTGGACTCCGCGGCGGACCGGCCCGAAACTCCCAACTCCGAGTCCCAGCTCAGCGGGGACGGCGACAAACCCGAGCGGCTGAGCAAGCTGCCTCTCACCAGGATCAAGGCCATGATGAAACTGGACCCTGACGTCACGCTGGCCAGCCAGGAGTCCGTCTTGCTGATATCGAAAGCTACGGTGAGAACGCCCCCCTCCCCCTCCTAAACATAAACACACACGTACATGTGCCCTCAAAACGAACTAGAACCAGATTCATTGTACGTGGATTGGCCAGAATGATGTATTCCTGATATTCATGAAATATTCTGTATGCTGTCTTTGTTTCAGGAGTTATTTATTGAAGCACTGGCGAAGGAGGCATATGTACATGCCAGGCAAGGCAAGAGGAAAACACTTCAGAAGAAAGACATAGGTAATGTCTAGCTGTCTTTTACTTTTAGGATGCACATAAGGCGTTTACTATCAGTACATAAAGTGATAGTGTTGAACTTACTGTTTATGTGCTTGCAGTATGTTGTCATTGTGTAGCAGATGTTTAATAAAATGTGGTAAACATATTAGCCTTGACCTGATGTTTTCTTATTTCGTTTCAGATAATTCCATAGAGGAACTGGACTCCTTTGCTTTCTTGGAAGGTATGGGAATATTGTTGTAGCAAAGTTGAAACACTCTTAGACAACGGCTGTGTATTGAAATTGAAAATTATTTCACAAATACATGATCAGTCATCATTCTGATGATTCGTCCAAGAGATGCCAAACCTCGGTCATATGGATGGAAGAGCCTCAGATTGTTATTGAACCCAACATACTGATAGAGTATAGATTTGCTTACTAGTTAGGCCACACGGACTTAATTTTATTGATGACATCCTCTGAAGACCCCCAAACTAGTGCACACGGGCAGATAAAAATTAATTCCAGCCAAAAAACCACAGGAATACAAAGGTGCTATTTTGAATTTACAGAAGTACATAGCTTTTATGATAAGGCAGCACATGCTGGCATTTATACATGCAAGTCAGCACTGTACTGAGGTCTTCAGTTCTGTGGAGCTTTGGCACCCTGGGTGCCATCCTCCGTAGTTTACCGTTGGCTATCTATTGTCACTAGCTACCATGGACTGCAGAGGTTGGCACCCAGATTTTTTTTGAGAACATGCGAAAATCAATGCGCGCACGGATGTCATCTATAAGATTAACTTAGTGTGGCCTTATTGAAAACATTATTTATAGAAAGATTGGCAGCAGAATTAAGAGACAAGACAATTGTGGTTGTTTCTCCTAAAAGTATTCTTGTTTATTTTTGCAGGGACATTGGACTGATTGGGAAATGTGTGGCAAAGAGTCTGGCTGCTTCACAATCTTTTAAACTTGGACTGGGACTGATTCCGACTGAATATCAAGAACTCTTACAGATACTGTACATTCTTGTTCAAGCAGAATTTGAACCCTGAGTGTGAAAAACTTTCCTACCTTTGTTAATATAATTAGATCATGGGCTAATTTTGTAAGGAGAGTATAGCAAACTGCAACAAGATTCTCAAGAAAGTCTATGTGGATGTACTATTGTAAGGGCTGGAACACAATTGTTGAGTGTATTTTCAAATTATATCTATAAAAGTTGTTCTGTTACAGTTCATGTAAATGACTTCAACTGTTGTAAATAAAGGAGGTCAAGTACATGCAATTATGTATATTTCTTTCTTTTTTCCTATATGGTGAACAATTAATTTTCATTCCATATTTTTTCTAAAGCAATCTTGATTACCATAGGCTAGTGAATGAATTTGTAAATGGCACCCTACAGTTTTCTCCTCTTTGTGCCATGACTATGTTGTGCTGCATTTAGTTTCTGCTGCAGTTCACCAATGGTCCTCTTGAGGGCACTTTTCTCCTGCTCGCTCTGGTTCTTCAGTGCTTGCAGTTTCTGACACAACAGTAGAAGAGATTAGTCTCAAATAACAAAGTTACAAGAAATTTACTCACCACATACTGGTAAAAATTTCATAAGGAAAAATTGTCTCAGTCAAACCAGTAGAATGAAATGTCCCATACCTGTCTGAAGATCTCATGGTTAGCTGAAGACGGGCCCCTCTGTTGCTGCTGTAGTGTTGCAGTCTGTTTCTGTAGTTTTAGTAACTTGCTGTCATACTGCAAGGATAAAACATGGAAGTATTAGGGAAAAGTTAAGATGAAAACATACAAAAGAAAAATTAACCAAAACAACAGAGTGTGTGTGTGTGTGTTGGAAACTTGAAGCTGATTTTTAAGAAAAACTTAATATATACCATTTATTCTTTTCAGTTACCTAGGAAAGACCTTCAAAATTGTGTATACATGTAGGTAACCACTGAGTCTTTGCTGGACTTACTGCCATCTTCAGCTGTACTATCTGTGAGTGTTTTTCCCTCTCTGTGTCCTCCAACTGCTTCTGTAGCTGCTGAAGTTCTGAGTTCTTCTGCTGAATGGACTGCTGCAGTAAGGCGCCTTCCTCCCTCTCTGTATATGTAGAAACAAGATTTAGATAGGCATATTGGTAATATTGGAACGAAAGGGAGGGTAGGTTGGAAGTTGTGTAAGGTGTATGAGTGCATATGTCATGAAATGAAATATGTATGTTGAATTTTGACTGCACACCTGACACCACAAAAAAAGGTCTTTTATGCTCTTACTTGCTCACACAACTTCACCGTCCAAATTCCTTGTTCGAAATCTTTTTACAGTGACAGTTTCCTCAAACGGCCAAGCTTTAGAATTCCCTCTCTGACAAGTGTTTCCCACCAACCCACAATCTACAGGCTTTCAAATCAAACATTCACCGCCATCTCTTGACATAGCCATGTTTCTCTCATATTTCTAGTTCAATGCCAAGAAGTGGTCGTATAGGCCTTGCATTGAACCACTCCGTTAAAAAAATAACAGGTTGGTAGAGTGCCCATTATTTTATGAAACAGTAGTTCAAAATAAAAGAAAATACATACATTGATATTGTTTGCTGTAGAATCAGAAGGAAGGCACCATTGCTTACTTAGTTTGGCTGCATTATCCTTGAGCTGCTTCAGCTGTTCCTTGTGTTTCTCCTTCACAGACTGCAGAATTCGGCTGGACTCTGACAGCTCCTTAGAATGTTCCTTAAGAATGTTCAACAGATTATACCAACATTTTGAGAAGTTGAGAGGATCATAGAGATCATTTTGAGTCAAATGTTGCAGGTAAGAGAATGTAGCAATCAGAAATAAAAACCTGTTTAAGGTTGTCCAACTCAGCTAGGATGTTGGAAATCTTATCCTTAAGTTGCATGTTCTCATCTGAAAAAGAAACGGTCAATAGAAATAACTAGTCACATTAGCTGTACTTTAGAGACGTGATGACAATACATGTACAACTACATGTACTTGTCTCGTGGTGATTGTATTTTTTCAATCCACTTGGTAGAAACTCGTAATTCTGGTCAAAAAGGACAATATGTTCATAGACCAATTTCCCACAGCCATTGGAATGGAGAATGTTTATTATCCATCGATGAAGTACTCACCTTCCAAATCACATCTTTTAGCCACTGTGCCTTGTAACTTGTCAACAAGACCTTGTAACACACTGATCTCTGCAAGAAAAATTAATGAGTTTTGGTGTCATAAAAAGATATTTCCTAGTTTAATAAATTTGAAGGCAAAGTGAAAATAAAACACATTTTTCCATGTCATTGATCATTATAGTCACTGTTAATGAAGAATCACAGTAGTTTTTATGCAGAATAACTAGCCTACCATCCCTCCTGGCCTTCTCGTTGTCTTGGCTTGCCTGTAGCTGCTTTGTCAGTCCTCTCACTTGTACCTGTAAGGTGCTGTTTTCTTGAGCAACCTTAGTCGTAGCCTGTGGAAAGGGATTAACCAAAGTTTATATTTCATCACACCCTATAAAGGGCGTTACACAAATGTTGAACCCACCCTGGACATCAACTGGACCGTCCCTTGACTTAAGTGTCAATCTTACTTTTAGCCCTTTCATGTGTAAATCTACATAAAGTCCGCCTCAAAATAACACGTACAATAAAGTATGAAGGATATTACCCCTTTCTCACCTTTTGCCAAGCTGTGAAGTTCTGAGCCAACTCGTCAAGGTCAACCTGTTTCAGTCCACACGGAGAAACCATGTCACTGGAAGAGGTAGAATATTTTAAACTCAGAAAATTTCAAACACTGTGGCTAAAGTATACTTCCCTTTGGGACGACTTTGACCAAATATGTTTTTCGGACAGTAAAACTTTCTTCGAAAAGTTTTAGTTCCCGCTGAAAGTCAGATCGAGGCTGGAAGATACACAACACACTTTCCAGGGATATCAGTTCGCTAAAACTTTCTTAACAACAAATTACTATCAAAATGCCTCAGGCATGGAGAATTATTGTGCTTATTTTATTCCTAATTAAAGAATTATCAGAATCTGAGGAAAAATTCTACCAGCTTGTGTCGATTTTACGAATTTCAAACGGATTATTTTTCTCAGCGCTGTAAGGTCAGAGGTTAGACAGCGGTGCAGCGGCTGAGCGGGAGATTCAGACGATGGTTTTACGCTGCGGTAGTTTTTTGACGTCTGTCTTTAGAATTCTGCAAAACTAGTCGGTCCAGTAAGTATATATTTATTTCTTAGTAAACGAATGATCCTAAAATTCGCCAAATATCTCCAGAATGTGCAGAATTTAGGTAATGCGTGAGGTGATGTGTTTATGTTCGTTGCTAGTGGGGGAGGGGGGCATCATAAAGCAACACGACTTGTTGGTGTTGCCTTTTGCCATCTACTTTATCATGCAAAAGACTGTGTTTCTTACACCTTTTCTTCTTTTGTGTGCTAGGAAGATACCGGATTGAGAGACATGTCGTTTGTTCGCGTGTCACGGCAGCGACAACGCTTTAATAGTGGATCCACCAAAGGACGGAGGAAGCCCAAACCCAAGCCTGAGCCACCACCCTGGGATGTGAGTTCTTGCATAAATATTTTTGGCATTGTTTTTGCATCATTGTAAACAAAACAACGTGTTTTTTTTTGTAAAATACAATGATGCTGGGAGAACACTAAACAAAATGTGGCACATGTATTAAAGATGACCTTTTATACCTACTTTTATATCTTTGATGCTATAATAATTATACAATAAAAGTTTGAATACCAAGTTACCATGTTGTTGGTGTGTTTAACAGACATACCGGTACATGTAATGTTACACCAACATGGTGGAAAAAATTATGATATCATATGAAAAGACACATGTATGGTTGTACACATATATGGTTGTCACTCTATCGTTTATAAGTATCAATGTGACAAGGTAAGTTCCACTCGGGAATAATGTCATAGTGCTGGTGTTATGTTTGTTTGAACTTTCTGACTATAAACATGCTCCTCTAGGATTCAACCTCAGACCTCAGTGTGCACAAAGCTACAGAAGAGGAGATTGTAAGTTCAGTTTTATACATTTCTACCGGTGTTGCCTGTTTTATTTAATGGTAATTCTGACTGTATGTTACCAGGCTATTCATAATATGATTACGTTATATCCCCTGGTCATAACTATGCTGTGACTGCTGGTGTTCGACATGGATTTTTTTATCACTGCAACATGAACTTTGAAGTTGCTTTAAGAAGATATCCTATGTTTAATTATGATATAAATATGTTACATTACTTTCTTGTATCATGTTTCCATGGGCTCCCTTGGAAATCAGCCTTCAACGGTTTGAGGGACTACCCATATGTTTGAAAGATTAATAAATAAATGTGGTTCTAAACTGACTTTGATAATCTGCTGAAAGGCAACCTTCTGGTTTCTAAAAGCTTATCAAATTGGAACATCATACCCAGAATTACCCAGAAGTTGAAATACTGTTACACTGATAAACCTAAAAGCTGAAAGCAGAACATCCTGTAAACTGTGTAAAGAGATGTCCTTTAGCTGCTATATATCAGTTCTAATAACCCTTGCAGATAATTGATTGATAAACCAAATGAATTCAGTGTGAACTATAAGTACAAGGATTGATAGTACAATGATAATCCAAAAGAACTATGTAAATCTGAATGAATATTTCAAACTTGGTTTTAAAACCTGCATATTTGAAACCTGCATAACATCAACCCTGCAAGTGGTGGGCTGCCATCAAGCCACAGCATCAGTGTGCAAGCATGTCTAAACTGGATACTGAGTGTGATTGTATTTGTATGATCAGATGTTCTTCTTCATTTACAGAAACATCGTCATGAGGTTCACCAGTCTAAAAACCTGGATGTGATAAGACTAGAGAACCAGAAGATGATGATACAGAGAGGTTGGATAAAAAAACTATCAGTATCAAAACTTCTGCATTTAAAGCACTTCAAACTTCAATTTTTCCATTTACCAAAGTAATGTGTAGATTATATGGTATTTATTTTGTAAAGACTACTTGTTTCTTGTGCTACATTTGTATAGCGCGGGCTCGACCAAAGACCCCAACAACAGTGGAGAAGCGGAAAGCTGCCCTACTGAGGGAAGTGTTGTATGATCACAGTCAGGTAGGACATGATGGCTTTGTCTTCTACCACAATAAAGTCGTGCATACCCATGAAACTGCACTTGTCATGCTATAGCAGCACTTCACATGTTATATTAGAGAATATTACATTATAATCTGTCATGTATGTGACTCTCAGCTATGTGCAGAATGCAGAGATAAATTATTACAGTCCGTTTGAGACTAGAGAGTATATTGTAAAGTGAGACTACACACGACACAAGTACATGTACCAGTGTTGAGGAAATGTATATATGAAAACTAAGGTGCTTCATTCAACAAATAGTGAGTTTTCACATCCGACATATCGGTGACCATCTGTCCCCTTCTTGAGGGCAACAATAACCTGATCTTATTTGTACTACAGCTTGGTGTCGTGGCTGGAACATTACAAATATCATTCATGCACCAAAGTGTTGAGAGATATTTGACTGAGATATTATTGTAACATGTACCAGTTGCAGGACGTCCTGTCCAAGTCTGACCGTGTCATGGCCGTGGTCAGAGACTTGTTTGGAGATGACCCAAAGGTATGTGTACTCAGCCACTTAACCCACCTCAAACTCAAAGTACTGCAATAGTACATTAAAGCATTTCTCTCTGAGGTGGTCAAATTGTTTCAGATTCAGATTAATAGCAGACTAATGGAAGTTAACAGACTGGTATAGTATGTATTTTTTTTATGCATTACATTGTCCCTATTAAAGAATAAGACACACCTACAGACCAAAAATCCAGCATTGATAACTATCTATTGGTCAACTAGTAATGCCCATGTTTTCGTGGGTGATGATTCTCTACTGATGAATTGATATTAATTTAAAAAATATATACATTCTAATGACTGCATACTTTCCTCCCTTAAAAAGTGGAACAGTTACAACTAGGTGATTTTACCTCCCTTTCATAGCATAATTGGCTTTACTTTCTAGACCTGAAATGTGTATGTACTGAACAATTTTGAACAGTTTTGTGCACCAGAAATTGGAACTTTGCATGTAATTTTTGACTGTGGATACACCGGTGCACCTAGCTATTTGTGTAGGATTATGTAAAGATGTACTAGTGATATTATATAACTTATTAGTATTCTTGACATTTGACTGCTGTACCACAGCAAAAGGCAAGTGTACTTGAAAAATTTAATGACTCAAAGCCATTAAATTTTTCCAGTACACTTCATGATACAAGCATCTTTTTAGCGTTCAGTATACCCCTTGATAACATACCACACAAAGAGCAGTTCAAGAATCTTTATTATCCCTAATCAATGAAGAATTTGTTGTTGAATGTAGTCATATTTAAATGACTATTTGTTTCACTGGTGTTGAAATTGCAAATTCCTCTAAAGCATGAATTTGCAAACTTCCAATTCAAGAGAAGATCATCAGTAACATCTGTTAGTGGGAGGCATTGAAGTCATTCTTGTCCTATTAAAAGCAGCATGTTCCCTCTGTTGCTTGGTAATTAGTAGCTGCTAATTATCTGTGTGTTCACAATCTCATTTAATAACCCCTCCATAATGGCTCCATTCCAAACATTCCCCCTTCTATGAGCCTCAGAATAACTCTATGGAAATCCTTGAAAAGGAGTCTTGCCTGAAGAGCAAATTAGATTCTTGACTGTGGTCTTGTAGCTATACGCTGGGCTGACAGCTTTCTTTCTCTGAAAAGGACTCTGGCCTTAGGCCTAGGAAAAAATATTGTGTTTCCTGTTTCAGTCCTTAAAAACATCAGGGAGGATAGGTAGGGATTATCCTTTTTTTTTAGACTTTTATTAATAGTTTTGTTTTTTACTTCTCTAGTAGTGGTCCTTATTTCCTGATATAAAATATTTCCTTAGGCCACACCAATTTAATTTCTTGGTGAACGGATTTTTCTAGAAAAATAAGTAATGGAGCGGGCGGGCGAAAAAATAAAAAATAAAAACAGGCCTAGGCATCCTATTATGGCCCAAAATGGTACAATAGGAGCCATGAAGTCAACACACCAGGCTGGTTCAAAATTTAAACAATGAATTTTGAACTTTTAATGATACCACTGCATTGAAAGATGGAATAACTCTAACAACTAGGACTGTTTTCAACTGTTCAGGGCAAAATATAAACCTTTTGCAGTTGATTCTTATTTTTTTTTGTGTGCAAATATCAAAAATAGGCAAATCCGTTAACCAAGAAATTAGATTGGTGTGGCCTTATACATTTGTATATCCTAACTTATATTTTCAATGTCAATGTTTGAAAACCAAATGAACAATGTTTTCTCACTCAGGTGTCCAATCAGGGGTTTACAAACAAAAAAGGCCATAGCTAGGGTTGGCAGTTTTTCCTAGGGTCGTTCGTGAAACATTTCTCCTAGGCCTTATGTAATGACTTGTAAAGGTCATAACACAATACATGTATTCAACGTTCCTTCTGCTGCTCTGTTTGCGGCATTATCCATGGCAACAAGCTGCAGACTGGCATGCCATTTTATAATTGCATTTTCCCCACTAAAATATTCATAAGTAAGGCTTGCTCAGTTCCTGCCATAACTGCCCACATAAGTCACTGAGCGAGTGCTGTCGTCCAGATCCTTCGTGACCAGGTGCAGCCACATTCTTGCTCCTTCTAGTTTGTGCACAAACAGTATCAGGATCGTTCATAGCTCACCATTCGGCAGGCTGCAGACAAGCAAAATCAGCTCCAGCATGTTCAATAACAGCTCCAACCCAGGGTTACCTACTGAGGAGACATTTGCTGCAGAGTTCCACAGCATACTGTCCTGCTACAAGTGGCACTTAACAAACAATTTCTCCGTCCTGCAAGCCAACGAAGCCTGCTCTGCATACGAGGACCTTGTCAGACTGAGGACTGAGACTGAAGTCATCTTCCTGCTGATGGGACTTCTCATAATCGTCACCAATCCTGTTTTGTTGTTGGGAATCATTGGAGCAAGAGAACTGCACAAACCCGTCTACTTCTTCCTAGCAAATCTGGCCGTGTCGGACTTTTGTGCCGGTGCTGGACTCCTGTATCGGGCTGTAGGGTACGTGGGATACAGCGCCATGTACAAGACGTACGGCTTCCTGTTGGGTTATGTGCCTCTTTTGATTTTTACTCAGATGATGTCTTCATCTGCTTTAACATTTCTGTCAGTCAATAACTATGTTGCTATAAGATATCCTGTGTATTTCCACAACAATGCTGATGAACTGAGTACCAAGTTGTGCGTCGGTGTTGCTCTGATTGTCTCGTGGATTAGCATTGCCTTGGTTTCCTTCTCACCCATTATGGGATGGAATTGTTTAGACATGGGCACTTTGACAACAAGAACCTGCATTAAATATTACCCCTTGGCCTTTGTGGTTGTTTGTGCAGCCATAGGTTTGCTTCTGTGCAGTATCATATTGTTCACAAATGTAAGTGTGTATGTAAGAATCAGAGAGCGAGAAAAGAAAAGGCTAGAACAGGCAGGGTCTACCAATGCTGCACAACAGGAGGCACTGAGGAGATATGAAGAAAGAGTGTACAAGGCCAGGACTGTTATGATCCATGTAATACTGGCTTTTACCTTCTGGCTGTTACCCCTCCTGATCTACGTATACTATGCTGTATGTAGAAGTGCCCCGGGCCGGTGCCCCACTAGAACTGGTATATTTGCAGGTATCTGTCTGAACTCACTGATCAACCCAATAGCAACACTCCTCCGCACTTCAGATTTAAGGAAGGCAATCTGGGACAAAGTGACAGGCGTTCATCAGACAATTGTCAGGGTGATACGGGGAAACCGTGCCCATCCACAGGACGACCAAGCTGGAATAGGAGATGCCCCAAATTTTCAGCTAGAAAGGCAAAACACACAGAGTCAGCCCGCTCCAAAAGAACTGCCTCTGGTGGAAAACTATGACATCCATAATGCCCACAGAATGGCAGAGCCAGAAAGATGGCCTAGAGGGAGACAAGCCGAAACTCTTGCTATGGTGCAAGTAGACTGAAATGAACTGAGAACTGATTCAGAGCTGCCAACACTGAAAAACAAATATATTACTAATTATTATTAGACACAAAATGTTGAATATCTACAAGCATGGACAACAATGGCAAGTACTTGCATATATACATGCGTGATTGCATTTCCTGTTTTAACAGTGGTGTATATTATGGAATATGAGTTCTAGATGTTGTCCATTTAGAAAGTTTATACTAAATGGGTCCTGTATTTTACTTCACAAAGGTAGATACTGCTTTATGTAATGATTCAGTGCATTGTAAAGTTCAGATTATTCGACAAATATTAAATGTATTTTTCTTGCATGCTGTTTTGTTTGCACTGTTGAAATATTAAAGATAAAATCATTTGAGGTCAGAGTCTAAGATTTTCTGAGTCCTTCTTGTCCCTGTTGTTAATATGTGATCTGATAGCATTTAAGAAGACATTTAGAAAGGTGTTTCAGAACATTTCTTAAGGCCAAGTAGTAACTTTGGGTTATATGATATTGCAGTTCTACAGACTAAAAAGCCCTCCCAACATCTGCTTCAAGATAATACCTCAGATGTACGTCATGTTGTCATGACAACACTGTAGACAAATCAAATCAAAATGAATCTGTAAAGAAGTTATTTGAAAAATGGAATTTGAGAAGTCATTTGAAAAATGTCAACCATGTACTACCTATGTGTTGACTGTTCTGTACTACATGATGATGATGATGAATGGTTTATTGACATAAAATCCATCGCAGCCCGCAGGCTGAATTGCGGATTCCGATTACACATAGGGCTCAATTGACAATAAAACAATGGGTCAATTATCCTATATATAAGTATAAAAAGAAATAACGTTGATGGATAAAATTTAGCATTTATACAATAATAGGTTTATCAGACGGTATATTAAAAGCTTAATCCTTAAAAACATTAACTATTTGATTAAGTATTTAAAAGGCGAACAATGTAAGCTATTGGGGAGTTCCTGAGTCGTTCAGTCCTACATTTAATTGGTCGATACTTGTCTCTGTTTCTGGTTGTTCTGTCGTGGTAGTCCGAACCCTTTGGTGGCAGCATTGACGGTGTGTGGGATTCTAAATGAGTCCCGAACTTGAGACACAGCTTCTGCCGGCGGTCTGAGAGCAACGGAAGGTTTAAGTCTGTCCTGCCTTGCTCGTAGCTAGTGAAACGCCTTCCCAGTATTGTCCGAACTGCTCTCCGTTGTACAGCTTCGAGTTTGTCCGACTGTGCACAAGTGAGCCCCGGGTGCCAAACTGGCGCGCAGTATTCCAATACTGGCCGTACAAAGAACGTGTATATAGTGACGAGGTCACCGGTGGGAAGATTGAAGTGTTTGAGTTTCCGTAGGAAGAAGAGTCGACCGTTAGCCTTTCCGATCATTTTGTTAACCTGTGTCTCCCATTTCCCGTCCCTCATGGCATCATCAAACACTACGAGGAAAATTAACGGACCAAGAAGTGTTCCTTGCGGCACTGAGCAGGTCAGTACCTCCCAGTCAGATAGCTGTCCTCCATAACGAACTCTTTGCCGCCGCTGGGTTAGAAAGTCGGACACCCACTGGATTAGACTCCCCCTTACACCAAGTCGTAACAGCTTCTGAATGGCCAACGTGTGGTCTATCCTGTCGTACGCCTTGGAGAAGTCAGTCATGACCATTGTGCAAATGTTCTTGGCCTTTTCAGATTCCCTACAGAGAAAGTCTAACAGACTGACCAGATACATTGTTGTATGTAAAGGGAGATGGCCATCTAACAGTTAATAGTTTGAGCTAGCATGTTGCATCTTCCTTTGCATAAAATACAGATAACTATGTTGTCAGATAGAAGATATCAGACTATTGTACGATGTACCAGGGTAACCAACAGAAAAAATCTATTTTTATAATTTTTAATATGATTCATCTTTTAATACAAAGTGTTTACATTTTCCCCATCACCACAGCCTGTAAACAGTTGATTAAGATTCTTGTTATTCAAAAATTGAATATTTTGTTTTGTTTATGTATAAACACAGAGATACACAGGGTTCCCCAATGTGACCAAGGCCCCTGACAACCCCAGTGGGAGCGGCCCGGTGATAGAGCCCCCTGAGCAGCCCACACAGCTCTCCATGTTGAGCCAGTCCATTATGGACCAGAGTGCTCTAAATGAAGTGGATACAGAAAGAGAGCAAGGTACATGTATACATGTATTAGATACAAAGTAACAGTAAGAATGTTACCAGTATATTGCTTTTTAAAAATCTATCTATATTCTGTGTCAGTATGTGTTTAGTCGGTATAACTGCCCTTCAGCATAATACACTAGCTGTGCAGGTGTGCAGTGTGGCAGCAGCTGGCTATTACACAGAATGAAATGTCACATGTATAACCTTTGCACATCTAATTACAAGACTTTAGTCAGTTTAAAGCTATATAGTGATAATGCCCCTACTGTACTTGATGGTAGCAAGATCCACTATAATACATGTAGTTTTGCAACTTCTATCTATAGGAAAAACATTAGTTTTTGAACACCTCAATCTTAGGTCGATAACTCTGGTACTTGAAGGCATGAGTCGCTGCATGACTATTTCTTGTTCTTTTCTGGTCAGATATTATATAGTATTACGTGTATAATGGTTCATTAAACAGTTTATTTTTAGTGATTTTGTATATCATGCATAGTCTGGACATTTTTTGTTCGTCTTTGGGTGACAGCCACTTCAGATCTGTTTTCGTTTGGTGACACTGGCACCCCTTAGTTGTTCGTACAGAATCTGTCAGCTTGATTCTGTAGTGTAATGTGTATCTTTAGACCTAGGAGGAAAATTGTTGTTTCCTGTTTTAGTCCTGAAAAAAATTAGGGTTGGTAGGTAGGGATTATCTTCTTTTAGACTTTTTTTTTTTACTTTTTATTACTAGTACTGGTAGTGGTCCAACTTATACTTTCATTGTCAATGTTGGAAAACTGATTGTACAACGTTTCATCACTTACGTGTCAGAAAAAAAACTGATCATGGAGCTTAAAAAGGTCGATCAGCTCGAAAAATTTATGTTCCTTGCAGGGGTCCACACACACACACACACACACACACACACACACACACACACACACACACAAAAATGTTAAGGTAGGCAGTTTTTTCGAAGGTCGGTCAGGAAGCAGGAAACACAACATTTTTCCTAAGCCCTAACAAAATGATTGACATGTATCTGATTACATGTACATGAGTAGGAGAGACTGGAGATGAACAGAGTCTCTCACAGCAGTTTGAGTCCAGGCTGGACCTGCAGCGTTTCCGAAGGTTCTTGGAACTAGAGAGACAGCAGGACAGTGCCCTAAGACAGCAGGACAGCACCCTCAGACAGCAGGACAGCACAATCAGCACTATCCCAGGGGAACAGCAGGGACAGCAAGGTACAGTATACTTAAAACTACTTACTTGAAATTTTTATCCCTTTTCAGTACCAGTGAGGCAATGGATCTACGTATGCATTTTACACATTCTTACAACTGACCTGACAACAAATTTTCACCATCAAACTTTTGCATCATTATGATACTCAGCTCCTTTTTTTTATATAGAAAATGCAATTTAGGCTGCATGCATGCTACTTGAACAAATGAAGAAAACATTATTAAAGTGAATTTATAATGTTTCCACCGATCTCTCTACTGGTACTTTGATATTCTCTAAAAGCGTGGTGTGTGTTTGGTTCTTGAAGCAATGTCTCATATGTAAAAAATCTTTTCATCGTTCATCTGTATAACAGGTGCAGTCACCAGTACCATGTTACAAGGCGGTCCCCCTCATCAAGTGGACAGTTCCAACCCTGGTAGAACAGTCAACAGGAGTTACACACAGGTAAGGTACATACTAGGAAAAAAGAAACAGAATATTTGCAGAAGGCTGTCTGTAGAAAATAGTAAGATGACATAGGGTAGATAGAAATCTTAGTTTGAAGTCTATGCAAAGTATTTTCAATGTTGCTTTAATAATGTCTTTCCTTTACTTCTTATCACATGGAATTATATAAGGCCACACCAATTTAATTTCTTGGTTAACGGATTCGCCCGCTTCGTTTTTTTTCTGATTTGAAAATAAAAATAAAAATTCAGAATCAACTGCAAAATGCTCATATTTTTCCCTGAACAGTTGAAACAGTCCTTTTCTTCCTAGTTGTTACAGTTATTCCATCTTTCATTACAGTGGTATCATTAAAAGTTCAAAATTCATTGTTTAAATTTTAAACCAGCCAGGTGTGTTGACTTCATGGCTCCTATCGTACCATTTTGGGCCATAATAGGATCCCTAGGCCTGTTTTTATTTTTTCGCCCGCCCGCTCCATTATTCTAGAAAAATCCATTAACCAAGAAATTAAATTGGTGTAGCCTAATCTGTCACAACTAATGCACAGTCTACAGCAGTGACCACACAGACCCCAGTACGAGATGGGGACTCCAGCACTCTCACAAACCAGGCGATCAACGACACAGCCAGGGTCAACCGCACCATGAGCAGGACTGGTGCAGCTGACCAGACAGACCTCAGCTCTCTCTCACTCACCAAACTGGACCAACTCAAACAGGTCAGGGGACACTTTTATTGTGTCTTTGATCCTTGCTGGGCTGCTGACAGTTGGTTCTGTCATAGCCTGCTTGGAAATCCTTCAACATCAAAATCATATGGTGACCTATGACGAATGTGATCCTGACTTGATGTATGGATGTGTTTTGTTCAAAGAGCCACTGTTTTGATATCCCAGGGATTTCCAGAATTCTGTATTGCTCGCTCGCTCGCTCACTCACTCACTATCTCACACTCACTCACTCACTCTCACTCACTCACTCACTCACTCACTCACTCACTCACTCACTCACTCACTCACTCACTCACTATCTCACTCACTCACTCACTCACTATCTCACACTCACTCACTCACTCTCACTCACTCACTCACTCACTCACTCACTCACTCACTCACTCACTCACTCACTCACTCACTCACTATCTCACTCACTATCTCACTCACTCACTCACTCACTATCTCACATCTCAATAATAATTTTTTTTTTATTGTCCAAACAGTACCCGTGCAGTTGCAGCCTTTGACGGCTGAATTGATGCAGGGTATCACATAATAATCAATACAAATCACAACAAACAAGTAATACACATGATAACACATTTTCTCCACAATTTTTGTGGAACTGTCGCAAGGGTCTGTGCGGCTGCCATTCGGCGCCACAAGGTGACCACAATACGACTTTCCCCAACCGAAGTTGGTTTAGCATCTCACTATCTGGTTTAGCATCTGTGGTTTCCTGTCTTCCATGGGTTAGATGTGCTTGCACACCATTGTTATGTGTTCGATGGCATCCCACCATTTGCCTCTATCCATGTGGGGTGACGGTATATAAGGTAAGGTGGTGGAATTCCTCCCTTACGTGGGTTTTGGCCTTCCACATCCATGGTGATCTTGTTTTCTAACATGTTGATTTCCATTGTAAGGTGATGGATAACCTGGAGTCAGAGATAGCAGACTACGAGCAGCAGGCAGGCATGCCTACCCCTCCCCCACCCCAGCAGCACAAGTCCCCCACCCTGAGGGGATATACCACCTCCCTACTGGAGGCCATCACCAGACTCACCAGGCATATCAAGGAGGTAGGTCTTCTCTCAAATGTCAACACTCGTCATTTTAATTTTGAAAAGTCACTAGCCATTTGGAATCTCAAGGAAAAATTGATGTAACAGTTCTACATTCAAGTTTGACATCACTGCATAGCTCTTGGTGTAATGAGCATAGTGATATTAAAATCATTGTTCAGAGTCTGCAGTGTTTATAACTTTAGATAACATTAGTAATAAATGCAAGCAGACCAGTTGTCTTTTTCAACAGCTAGCCTGCAAGTTTAAATTACAGTTCTTTATTTTTTCACAGTACTTTTACGGTCACTGATTTCACAGTCACTTCTGTACCGTGTATCATTACCAGTATCAAATCATATTTGTCTTTCACCCCACTCCTGCGAATGTATAGTTTCCTCAGATCGTAAAATTTTGCTACCATGAAGACAAAATGAGATTACAGTGGCTTCTGTTACTATGTTATCTTCTCTCTTCTCTGTTTATTTGTTCCAAAAGAGCTCTGAAAATACCGGTAGTCATCTGAACATATTAATCATATGTAGTATGGCATGATGCATTGGTGAAGGTTGCACATTCAGATGCAAAAAAAATGTATAAAGATACAAAAAAAGGACAGACAACTCTACAGTGTCACCGACGAAAGGTAGTGGATACAACCTGAAACATCTGACTGTTTCCAAAATCATATCCAGCTGCTTGAGTGAGGTTTATTGGCGTAGTACTGTATGGCATGCTTTGCATTTGTACAACATACTGACAATGGTGTGTGTCTACTACTATTAGAGTGAATCTCAGCTGCGGTCTGAAGCCACACTTCGACATCACTTAATGGAGGAGATAGCAGAACAGAGAGCTCTCGTTGATGTGCTAACAGCCGTAAGTACATGTCCTTAACGCCATCCAGACACAAGTAAACACACCTGTCCTTGGTGCTGAACACCATCCACACACATGTAAGCACACCTGTCCTTGGTGCTGAACACCATCCACACACATGTAAGCACACCTGTCCTTGGTGCTGAACACCATCCACACACATGTAAACACACCTGTCCTTGGTGCTGAATTCCATCCACACATAAGTAAACATACCTGTCCTTGGTGCTGAACACCATCCACACACAAGTAAACGTACCTGTCCTTGGTGCTGAATATCATCCACACACAGGTAAACACATCTGTTTTACATGTACATCAATCTGGATGCCTTTGAAAGTTATATTATTGTACATGTCTGTCATTCTTTATATATTACAGAGCTGCTGACATCCTTGAAAAAAAGAAAGCCGAAACACATGAGAATTATAAGCTTCCAAAACAGTTTAGCTACCTGCATGCTCACAGACAAAATCAACTCTTCATGTACACTGGTAGCTGGACAGTGACCTGGTGTAGGTGTACAACTGAGTCTTATTTACAAATCTTGTTTTCCTCCAGGATATTATAAGCACCCAAGAGCAGTACACTGTGCTGAGAGCAGAATTTGACCAGTACAGGACCAAGTCTGAGGAACAGATCAACTATCTCAAGGTAGGGTTCTGAAAGATTCTTTTCTTAACATCCCTCTGAATTAAAACCCCTGCAGCAAGTCTCCCATATGACTATCTTTCTTACCTCCATGAAAAATGAAGGTATTACTTTTAGTTTCTCTGTGTCTGTGTGTTTCAGCACATTTATAGTCAGCATAACTTCAGAATGCCTTTATGGCTTGTGATGATATTTAGTATATTGGTAGGTCATAGTTCAAGGTCAAATCTGGGCCTCCTGGTGGCTGACCTTGGCACCGCAGCAGAACTTCCAGTTTTTTTATCTTTTGTCCTGAATATGCTATGGTCTTGACTTTTTGTTTGTTTTGTAGTATGTTGATGGTTAAACAGAATATGCAAATATATTTCATGTACATGAGTTTTAAACTTGATTTCTTGTCTATTCAGCACACACTGTATGCTGTGATGAAAGGTTCAGGATCTAGATCGGTGGATGGCAGCACAGGGATGTCAACACAGAGTTTAGTACCAAGTGATTTATCAGGTACCATGATGTTATTATGTCTAGAAACATTATGGAGTTGTAATTTTGCCTTTACAGAGTTGCTATTGCTATTGCCATCTTTGGTTCCTTGATTTTCTTGTAATTTGAGTGTCTCAGAGAATGATTTTAGTACATGTAAGTCCTCTTAGGCTAAGGAAAAAATGTTGTTTCCTGTTTTCCAACCGACCGAGAAAAAACTGACGACCCTAGACTTTTTTTGGGTGGACCCCTGCAAAGGATGTTAGTAATTTTTCAAGCTGATTGACCATTTCTAGTTCCTTGATCTGACACATAAGTGATAACATGTTGTACAATCGACATTTTTTTTATTCACACATATTTATTGAGTATTGGGCAAAAAGTTGCTTATATAACACCTTCTACTCAATCATTGACATTGAAATATCCTCTTGCAAGTTTTACTTTGTAATTTGCATAAGTTCATCATTAGAGATTGCCAAAGTCTAATAAAAAAAAGCAAACAGAAAGATAATCCCTACCTACCCATGCTAATTTTTTTCAGGACTGAAACAGGGAACATTTTTTCCCTATGCGATAGTGACTTTAGTACATATTTTCCCACCCCCAGATCCCAGCACGGCCCCTAAGACTGTCCCTACTCACCTCCAGCCCCTGCAGCCAGCAGTGCTTCTGTCTCCTCCCAGACAGAGAAACCACAGAGCACCTCAACAACAACGTAAGACAAACCGTATCCTGGCCACAAATGTATTAACTGGGGCCATTTTACTGCATTTTAACCATGACACTTATTTTAATATGCAGGTGTTGTGAATGTAAATGTGATACTACAACACAGTGTATTCAGTATCACCGTTAGAACCCTTGTGTGATACCGCTAGTTATCATATGGGCTTGAACACCCACATTGAACGTTATCACAACCCAGGTATGACATCAATGAATGTTCAGATCTAGTTCACATCTTGAATCTCAAACACCCCCCTCCCCAGCAGCACCAGTGCAGTCAGTCCCCACCAGTCTTGCAGACCTGCACCAGCGAGTGTCTGAGGTGTACAGGACCATGGGGAAGGCCCCCAGTACCACAACCCCCACCACCACTGCTGCCATAGTCATCTCCCAGCCTACAGAAGTCAGCGTGGTGGAGCGCAGCAGGGATAGCCTGGGGACATCACCACTGCCACAGGCTCAGCTGTACCCTGTGGGTACCAGTGGGCTGGTGAATGGTGTTGTACCACCACAGCAAGGCTTCAGGAGTGACAGCAATGCACAACAACAGTTCACTGACAGACAGGTTCCCAGCAAAACAGGGGTAAGGCTTGCATGCCAGTCACTGCATGTTGTTAGAGTTCACAATCAGTAGCAGCCAACAGAAGAAAACTTGCACATAGCTACATGTAATAGCACTTTACTGAAAACATCAACAGCTGAAGCTGTTTTTTTTTATAGCCTGACTACATCATGCTTCTAGCAGCCCTCAGGTCAGGGCCCTAGGCACCTCTAAATCAGATTAGTGATAATCATAATGATAAAGAATCCTGATCTCCTATTTGTACTACCGGTAGTATTTTGGGAATGGGAATTGTTCTACTGAGTAAGAGGTGTATAGCCACAAGTTCTAAAGGATGAGGCCCAATCAGCCCGACCGTGAGATTGTGTAGCCCCTCTAAGTTCCTTGACTATTGTACATTCCTTCACCCCAGAGACCTGTGCCAGTGTTGCCCCCCTCCCCAGACCTGCCCGGTGTGTCTGTTGTGAGTCAGGGCAGACGGGGGAGTCTGGAGGAACAGTTGTCAGTCCTGTCCCAGCAGCACACCCAGGCACAGAGACGCCTACAGCAGATGGAACAGTGGAGGAAGGCTACAGGAGCCAGCCCTCAGGATGGAGGGGTAGACCAGCCAGGTGGGGACCAGTCAAGGACTTGTGGCGTCGGGTGGTGTAGTGGTTAGAGCAATCGACTATGAACCGGGGAGACCCGGGTTCGATTCCGAGTCGTACCCGGTACATGTCTGAACATGTGCCCCGACGTTGTGCCCTTGGGAAAGGCACTTTACACGACTTTCCTCACTCCACCCAGGTGTGAATGGGTACCTAACTTCGGTTGGGGAAAGTCGTATTGAGGTCACCTTGTGGCGCCGAATGGCAGCCGCACAGACCCTTGCGACAGTTCCACAAAAAATAATTGTGGAACAAATATGTTTATCATGTGTATTATTTGATTGTTGTAATTGTTGTGATTTGTATTGATTATTATGTGATACCCTGCATCAATTCAGCCGTATAAAGGCTGCGACTGCACAGGTACTGTTTGGACAATAAAAAAAAAAGGACAAGTGACTTTTACGTGTAGTGTAGCTGAGCAGCAATAGCAGCAACAGTGTAGTTTTCTAAGCTGTTGTAGGTCTAGAGTAGAACACACTGTATCTTTTACAGAAGTCCTAGTACAACAACCCCCACCCATTTTATATGGCATACAGAAAATACAACAGGAATGTTTCTTACGTTTTACATGTATTTACTGTAAGCCATGTAAAATTGCAATGTGGAGCAATTTTTTGAGGTTGACATTTTAGTGCTTTAGTATCAGTGCTTTTTGTAGACTTTGTTACATAATCCTGTTGAAGTGTCCAGCATTTGGTCTCCTTTCCCAAAATCATTTCTCCCTTGAGGCAGCAGTTCTGTATGTCCATGGAAAAGACAATATTGCAATGCTACTCAAACATTAATCATAACTGTGTCTTCAGCCCCCAGCTCAGAGTCCCTTCATGAGGAGCAGGTCCTGCAGCAGCAGATAGATCTCCTGCTGCACAAACATGAGGAGGCGCAGGCACGGCTGCAGGGGCTGGTGCAGCAGCAGCAACAGATCAGCCTCGACAGGCAGCTCAACAGTAAGCCAGCTTTCTTGTAAATGACATTGTGTATCACTGCATTATATGCCTTTATTGGCAATGATACATCATACATGTCATTATAACGACTGACCCACACAAAGTACAGACATAATACTAAACAAATAGATCAGAATCTAACTTAAGGTAAGATAGAAATTTACACATAAAGCTTTCTTACAAATAGATACTGAATATAGACACATGTAGTTTAGATACATGACTTTGTAGATAAAATACAACTCAGAGCTTTCCTACAAGTCAACTGTACAGGCTAGGCATCTTGAAAATCACAGCATTTTGGCTGGTAGAAAATGTAAATCAAAGGCAGCCTAGAATAGATATTGTACATGATGTACATGTACTTCAATATTTGGTTTTCAAGTGACAGTTAGAAGTGCATAGAATTTTGTGGTTCAAAGCAAAATCAATGACAATGTATTGATAACACTTGAAAGACTGATTGTGTTTTTCCCTTCTAGGTGCAGGCAGCACCGGCACAGCCTCTACCTCTACTGAGTTCACACAGCTGCCAACATCTCTCCCCTCCGTCACCCCTCCCTCGTCCCTACCCCAGGGGACACACCTCCCCGTGTCCCCTCCCATCTCCCCTATCCCCTTCACCCTAGGCAGCACGGCCCCGCCCCAGCCGGTGGTGACATGGGGAGGGGCGGGGAGGGAGATCCGAGTGTCTGTGCCTCGTGTGGAGGACCTGGAGCTGACAGCCACCAGCACTCCTTCTCCTCATGTGGGCAACAACAGGTCAGTCCGACTGCTTCTGGCAGTAAGGCCAAGGAAAAAAAAATGTTGTTTCTTGTTTCCCGACTGACCCTAGAAATTTTCAAGCTGATCGACCTTTTCTTGCACCATGATCTGACATCTAAGTGATGAAACATTGTACAATCGGTTTTCCAACATTGAAAATGAAAGTGTCCTCATGCAAATTTTACTTTGTTAAACTTTGTGACGAGTTGGATCACTAGAGATCACCAAAGTCTTAAAAAAAGATAATCCGTACCTACCGATCCTAATTTTTTTTCAGGACTGAAACAGGAAACACATTTTTTTTCTAGGCCTAAAGTTAAGATTTATTTCATTCACCTGGCATATTACAGATATGGCAATCTCAACATCAATTCTGTTGAAAGTTACAGTAAAATTCTTGTCAGATCATGTATGTAAAAGCTGTTGAAATGGTTAACTAGTCATCATTATAATTTAAAGCCAGTTCTGGAGTTAATAATAATAATAATATCTATCTGTGTGTTATGATGTAGTGTGGACTAAAATTACTTGTGTTCCTTTTATACCAATACAGTTGAGCTCAGCAAGGTGCTTATAGTAATTCTCAATATTCTTTGTTCCTCTGTCAGTGTTGCACGAAGCTCCCTTGGCAGTTCAAGGCAGTCTCCCATTCCTGTTAACCATGTCGGGATCAGACCAGTCAGTAAGGTAAATATTCTTTCCTCCTTCTTTCTTGTTAAGCAAATAATAGGAACTACATCCAGATAGCTGTGGAATGAACTACAGTACCTACAGCCCTGAATGATACAAAATTACTTAGTTTTTTTGTATTATGCAATTACAGGGATCTACTGAGAATGGATGGTTTGCCCTCTCATCACACGTCTCATAGACTGGCCATTTCCTCATAAAGGTTATTAACGGAAAGCAAACTGTGGGCTGATTTTACATAATATAGATACATCAAATTGTACAAAAATCAATTGAAAATATTGAATGGACTGTTTGTATTTTTGGAAGTACTGGCGTTTAAAAGTAGACAAGGAACACTCAGTGTTGTACAAGACTTTTTATTGGTGTATAGTAATTGGAATTAAAAGTTTTATACAATTTCTGTCTTCCCATGAATTCAGTTTTCTTTTTGTAGCCACAATATGGTAACCCTTATAGTCTTGTATATATGGCTGAGGCAAATGTTTTTTTTTTTAATTTATCGATAAGTAAGTTTATGGACAGTTAATGCATTTCATTATCCGGATTGTGCCTCTGTCATATTAGCTGTATTTATGCAACAACAACATAATAACCTTATTTACAATACCAATCTATAGACAATGTTACTTTGGAAGCAGGACAACTTTACCTGTATGTTGCAGGTAATATTTGGGTAAAATTTGGCTTGTACATGTATAAACATTGTGAATCACCTATTTGCACCATACGATATGGACTGCAATAAGTTTTAACACCTTCTTACATTTTTCAACCCTCAGACCGATTCTGGAATGTAATTACATGTATATCTTTAAACATCAATCAACTTTAGACAAAGGACGAACAACCCAAGTGAGCATATACATGTATCTTCAATGATAAATACGAGCTTGAATAAATAAACAGCATAATTATGCCAACACAGCTATGACATGTGGCAACATGTATACATATGAATTCAACCTAGTACAGTACATGTAGACTATGTTTGTAAAGAAGAAGATGCCAAGCTGAAACAACCATTGTTCCTCTCACATGTACAATTGCAAGCCCTTTGAAATACATGTACCATAGGATATACAATTCTAAAAGTAAGTAACCACAGATACTGTACATTTAGAAAGAAGGCTGTATTTCTCCTAGAGAAAAATGTCTAACTTACTCAAACATATCTGAAGGTAAAAATCTTACTGTCAAATGCAAAACGTGAAGACAGCACAACTGAATTACAAACACTTGCAAAAGTGCAAAAAGACAGGACATACACATGTGAAAGAGTCTCTGATGAGTGCATAGCAGCAACTATACATGAAGTGAAGATCGAACCACAGCTCCATCAATGGTACTGTTGACGGTAGTAGTCTCTGTATCTCCTGTCAATCTCTCTGGAACACATCAAAACAAGAACATCATGAACAGATGACTGTGTAGAGACAAAACAGCCTAATACAAGTTTAACGTACAAGTTCAATGTAAAATAGTTTTTCATCTATCCGTTAGTTTAATTATTTGTTGTTGAGGCACCACAGAATGACCTGACAAACAGTTGTCTCCACCCTCTTCGGTTTTCTGTTCCTTCAGGCTTCACTTAAAGTGTTGTGCTGGTCCATTTTCTTGTATAAAATGAGGTCTTCATACGGACCTACGGATATGCTTTTGATCCGTCTTACCTGGAACAGTCAGGTGGTCTGAATCCTGTGGGACATGAGCACATGTTGGGACGCATACACCTCCCTCCATTCTGACACGGCTTCCTGCACACAGCTGAAACCAGAACAGTCGTTGTCACTTCACCTTTCAATTTTCCACTATCCTAAAAGTTCATCTGTGTTGGTAATTACACGTTGTTCAGAGTTAAAAATACCTTTGACCCAGTGTTGACGTCAGGCTTCTGAGAAGCCAAATGACAAGTCTGACTTGGTTAGTCTAAGAACCTTGGTCCAAATTACATGTAGCAGTGATATGCCATAAGAAAAGCATTATAAAGGCCCCAAAAAGCCAAGCTGTAGAGCCTAAGGAGGCTCCATGTATTAAAAAGACTAGTATAATTGCTAGAATTTTTCTCCTCTTTAAAATTATTCTTAAGAGGTCATTGTACATTGAAGGTGCACACAAGTCCTCCATGTACATTTTATGTACGACATACCCTTTTCACATCTTGAACCAGTGTATCCTGGAGGACACTGGCATTTGTAGGGGCCGACACACTTGCCTCCATGGAGGCATGGCAGCACACAAAACGCTGTAGAAAGGAAGAAAATCGTTAATTCAAGGTGCAATAACAATGTCTCAAATGTTAATATGTACATGTACTAAGCAGTAAGTGTACACAATACAGGAGTTTTCTTTTACACAACCAAGATTTCTCACCTAAGTCCTGACGTTTCAGAAGTAAGTGTACACATATGTAAAGGAACAAAATGTCATAATATGTACATTGCTTACCATAGCACACCAGAAAGGAAACGTCTGCTTTAATTTTACCAACTTCGTTAACCAATTTTTACTGATTGGTACATAGAATGTTACAGGTACACATATAAAGTACCATAGAATTTTTTTTGAGCGAATTTAAATCAGATTGTACGGCTCTTTTTCTTTAGAAACCATAAACTGAGGAAAAGTTAACACAATTACCTAATTCACAAGAAGGCCCCCTGTATCCCTGTTGACAATTGCAGGTGTTGGGCCTGATACACTCTCCTCCATTCTGGCACCCATGTACACAATAAGCTGGAAATACAGAACAACCTTTTAGTAACAAATCAATTTAAGCTAACTCATCTCATCTCATTAGTGCTTTTTAAATCTTTATATATACATGTATATACATAAAAAATGATGTGTCAAGTAAAATCCAATTGTAATGGGATATCATTTGAATAAATCTATCCCCAGTTTTTTTTAGTCCTACCAATAGAAGAACATTGCTGTGCAGGTTTTTAACTTTTAGCATACTAGAGCAGCCATTTGGCTACCAATTCTCTGGTGGTTGTGTGGTTATGCAGCAGTAAATGGTTAAGCTACATATGAGTCTCTATATTTGACTTGTAATGATAGATGTAGCATTACCTTTACAGCGGGGTTGAGATGACCATCTCTCCGTGTGCAGACATGTTGCTACACGACTCCCCTCCAACACGTAGCCTGAGCGACAGCTAAACGTGATGGTGTCTCTGTACTCGTACCTCTGTCCTTGCACGGCCCCATTGGCCGGGGCAACTGGACGTCCACATTTTATTCCTGTAGGAATGGACAAACAAGTTCATTTTATACGGGCAAAACAGTGCAAGGAAGACTCTAAAACCACAGATAGAGGCGGTTAATCAATCAATCAATCAATCAATCAAAAATGGTTTATTGCTAAAAATCACGAACATTGCAGCAGAAAGCTGAATTGCATTAAAAAAAATCAAAGATGTACAATCATTTTAAAAGTAGTAGAATTGCACATTGGAAGATATTTAGACGGTATGACGTACATTTAGCTTAGTGAAATCCAAACAAGAAGCCATAGGCGACAATTCTCCGTGAAGTTTTATATATTTCAACAAAATCCCAAGCGTCAACGCCAGACCTACTGTGCATACATTATAATTAGGCAACGGTTAATACAATGAGGGCGCGTCACAAGCATAAAACATACAAAGAGCTAAATCCATTACTGCTCCCAGGGCGTGTAAAGATACTGTGCTTCAAGTTCGAACTTCATTTTAATTACACACACACAATCATTGCATTCACATAAAGATCGGACTATCATGGTCGTGTCTAGTAACAAAGACAGCCCCACCGTCTTACGGTGCCTGTACCTAATTAAGCGCGCCTGGAACAAGCCAAATTCCAGCAACAGTGGCGGTAAGCACCGCGAGTGTTACTACCGCCGGCCAGATAACCAGGATATCTGCTTACAGTACCTCTGCTACCAGACAACTGCCTAAACCTACGGTCTATTCCACAGGATTGTAAAAGTAGGGATGTTTCGAAAATAACCATTTACTCCAATATCAAAACAGCTACGGTAAAAATAAAAAGACGTGCATCATCCCGGACATAATGCAACACCACATGCGAAATTACACAGATATGCGACGTACGGCAGAATGCGTTTTGGCTGCGAACATCTTCCAAAAAACTTGGCATCTCTTAACCATGGGCAAAAACATCTGGAACCACTTATAAAAACCACCCCGTATCTGCATGAACTTTTACCTCCCCCCCGCTATTCCAAACAACGCGTTTTTCTGGACCGTTCCAATTCGCCTCGTAATTGTAGGGGTGCGTCTGCGATATTACATTGACCGCGAAAGCAGCAACGGCAAAAATACACATTCGTGCATCAACACGGGCATGCCCGCAGACGGCGTATCAAATTGCGTGCCGATTACACGAAGAGAACCCAGTGTTTTGACTGCGAACATGAAAAATCAGCCGATTACAACACTCCGTCCGGAGGTCCTGACCTCCTTCACGGAGTAATAAACTTAAGTGAAAAGTTTGCTCAGTGGTGTATTTGTACAGATACCAGATACTTACGTATGGGTAGAGCCTGTACCCTGGACCATGTCTGGTTCAGCTGACATGTGATGGTGTTGTCCCCCACCAGTCTGTAGCCCTCCTCACTCCTGAGCTGCAGTCTGGAGCCCACCTGGTAGTTCTGTGTGGACAGGAACAGGTGTGGGGGGAGGACTGGTGAGGGGCACTCCAGGGCTGCAAAGGGGAAACAGGCTGATTAAAGTAGCTAGAGCAACAATTGTAGTACTGGTATTCTCTCTATTGTAGTATTAAATTTACTGCATGCATTCTGATGGTGATACATCTACAGTATACATGTACATCTTCTTCAGAATATATCATACAATTTACACAATCATTTGAAATATTGCATAACTCCATAAGCATCCCCAAACACAGAATTGCCAGCAAACTGACTACATTGTACATGTATATAGACACAAAATTAATGGTACATGTAGTAACCATGCATTTGTACATATACATGTGTACACACACATGCCCATGCATGTACAATAAAGGTACATGTATCTGCCATTGTTACCTTTCTACATTACATTATATTATCATGGTTTTGTGTATGTTTTGGATGTAATATATTGGGGAAAACAGTTTATACACTGGTAGCATACACAGAATGGTGCCTGCTGCATCAGAAAGAACCCCACAAACCTACACATGTTGGCCTGGGATGGCTCCAAGTTCCCATCTCAGTACACTTGCTGTCTAGCGCCCCCTTTTGCCTGAAGCCAGCATTGCAGCCAAACACGACAAGATCACCATAGGAGTGTCCATTCCCTGTGACTTGTCCATTCAAAGGTGCAAACATAGGCGGGCACTGCACCTCTGTACATGGTGATAGAAGAAAAAATTTTGTAAGAGGTTTTTCTACTCTTGAACTTGCACCTGTAGATTTATCTGTTAACTTAACTTAGGCTGTATGTACATTGTCTGATACTACAACCTTTAGAACTCTTAAGTTTATAACAAATTTTCTATGAATATACATATACATGTAATTGTATGAACAGACAAGGGCAGTCTTTGACAATATCTGTGAGCACAAATCATTCATAATTTTTATTTGGTCAACAAAGAAATGGTTAGATCTAGATGTCAATTTACATTTAGTTGAATGAGTTAAAACAGGTATTATTGCTTACATTCACATAATACATGCATTTATTACAGTAACTGGATTATTACAAACTACGTACTGTTGCAGTCTGGAGTTGTGCCACTCCAAGAACCATTTGGTAGACAAGATCTCATTGGTTTTCCCACCAAGATATAGCCAGTTGCACACTGGACCCTGGCCAATCCCAGCCCATATAAGAAACTGTCTACCTGGATCTCGGCATTGGTGACAGGAGGCGGAGGGCCACAACTGACAGCTGTACAAGGGAGTTTAGGTGGGTGAGTAGAACACTACAGTCTAGATGTGCTGTACATGTACTACAGATAGGCGAAATCATGTACATCAATGTCCCATAGATGTGCTACAATTAGAATCATTTTGTGAGTTGTCAGAATACACTTACACACACTAAGTTACAAGTGCATATTATGAATGATGTTAATATTCTACATACAGTTGATTGTGTCTCTTCCCTAAGAGTCTCCTTACAAAAACTGATTGACATGCATTTTCCTATGTTAGGAAATACTGTTACAGTAACTGAATCAGATGCAACATGTGATGTATGCAGTATCAAAGTAATGCATTGAATTCCATACCAACTCTATGTATACAGTATAGTTGTAAAGTTCGAGCTTTGTTCCAATACAAGAAGGGAACTCATGACACCATAAATTTTTGGTTGATCTTGTTAAGCTTCGTCAGATGTGTGATGCACTCACTGACTTTCCAGAAGTCAGAAGCGTGATGATGTCAGGAGGGCATGAAATGTGGCGGGAAGACGGAATCTACCACTATCCCGAGTTGCTTTGCGCGCAGATAGGGGTAAGATAGAACAGACACCATATGGTCATCATTCGGGTTTCGCAAGTCCTCCCGTCAGGTCGGACATGGCAACCCCTCCCTGCCTCCGCGCGGACGCCACGTTCGTCGGCCAGGATGTCGTGGCCCTGGTAATGCGTGTCCGGGGAGAAGAACCCCTGCCGCCGGAGGATCGACGCGCCCGTTTCGGGCAGGAGACGGCCCTCCACGCCCTCGACCAGGACGACTTGCGGGAGAAGACGAAGACCCTCACCGGCCAGGACCCGGAGAACCTCCTCCTGATGGCGGGCCTGGACCACAAAGACCACACCGCCGCCCTTCGCTTGGCCCATTTCGCCATCATCATGGCCAACGAGGCCGCGGCGGCCCAGCCCGTCCAGCCAGCAGGAAAGAAGGCGGCTCTAGCAGCCGCGGACCTCCTGGAGGATGACCCTCCCCCAGTGAAGAAGTCCGGGGAGACGAAGCGCCCGGCCCCGCCCAAGGCCTCCGGCTCGGGACAACGCCCGCCGCCGAAGAAGCAGAGGAAGGCGCCAGCGCCCGATACCAGCTCCGAGTCATCAGACAGTGACGAGGACGACCTTGAGGTTGGTAGTGGACCTTCTCCTTTGACGGCATTGCAGCCCCGTTCTGTAAAGACACGCTCTTTTGTTTGTCCGTTTTCTTTTCATTTGTCGTTAGCCCATATTTTGATATTTTGTTGAGTAGTGGATACGCTGGTTTTTTATGCAAGCAAATTTGTTATGTCTATGCTCCCCCCCTTGTATGCACACGACACTATGGGTAAACGCTACGATTTGTGAGGCATGGGACGGACTGCGATTACCCGCCAGCTACAAATTGGAGCTTGGAACGGGCATGAATCACCCGCAAGCTGATCTCGTATCCGCAGGCAAAAGTGCCTAGAAATAACATTTTTTTTGCGACAAGTGTGACATAGAAACGGCAACATGGTAACACATGAACGAAACTGAGCTTGGGACGGGCAGTGAGTTACCCGCAAGCTGGGCAAGGGAGTGCCTGACAAAAGTTTTCATTGCTTTTGTTGCCCGATGTGGTGAAAAAAAGAAAAACGAATAAAAAAGCGAGCTTGGGACGGGCAGTGAGTTACCCGCAAGCTGATTTTTGTTTCTACGGGCAAGGGAGTGCCTGACAAAAGTTTTCATTGTTTTTTGTTGCCCGATGTGGTGAAAAAAAAAAAAGAAAAAACTAATAAAAAAGCGAGCTTGGGACGGGCAGTGAGTTACCCGCAAGCTGATTTTTGTTTCGACGGGCAAGGGAGTGCCTGACAAAAGTTTTCATTGTTTTTGTTGCCCGATGTGGTGGGAAAAGAAAAACGAATAAAAATGCGAGCTTGGGACGGGCAGTGAGTTACCCGCAAGCTGATTTTTGTGTCTACAGGCAACGGAGTGCCTGACAAGTTTTTTTTTTTTTGACCGATGTGGTGGAGAAACGAGAAAGTAGCCATGCATGGAAGAATCTGGGCTTGGAACGGGCAGTGAGTTACCCGCAAGCCGATTTTGGTTTCACAGGCAAGGAAGTGCCTGACAAGTTTAACCAATGTGGTGGAAAAACGAAAAAGTGGTAATGCATGGACGAAATTGGGCTTGAAATGGGCAGTGGGTTAACCACAAGCTGATTTGCGTATCGACAGACACAGAGGTGCCTGACAAGGTTTTTTGACCGATACGGTGGAGGAAGGAAAATGGTAACGCATGTATACAGCAGTGCTTGAAACAGGCAATGAGGTAGTACCCACAAGCTGACCATCGGCCCCCTGGCAATCTGGAAGCGATACATTGGTTTGTTTTCCTCCCTAGCGGAGAAAAGTGAGATGGTGCGCCTGGTCGCCAAGCTAAAAATGACTATCCCGTTTGGTCATTGCAGATATGTTTTCCTCGTTCCATACCCCGTTCCCCCCCCTCGCCTCTCGCTGTTTGTGCCGATTTCTGAGTACGATCAGAGAGTCGCGTGGTGCCCAAAAATTTTGCTTCAGTCAGTTTTTTCCCAGCATCTCACTGGTCTTCGCACCCAGCGGTATCCGTTGGTACAAAAACACTTCCAGATGCTTCGGACCGCACCTCCGAACTGATTAATGACGAAAATCAAGGGGATGACACCCGGCCGTCATGGTAAAAGAACAGATAACATCGATCCCGGCAACATATGGGGAAGTTACTCAGTCCGCCCCCCCCTGGGAAGTTGTAAATCGTTGATAAAACACTGAAAATATCTTGACACCGGGCAAGCCCGCTCAAGGGGATCATATTGAAGTGATTTTCGTTTTGACGTTTCCTAAAAGCTGGTCTCCTTTGGTTTTTTCCCTGTAGGAAGACGGGGTAGAAGCCCCACTACGCCGGCTGAAGAGGATCTGCCAGGATCCCCTGATCCATCATCACCCGGAGAGGCTGAAAACTGCCCTGAGCCGGGTCACAAAAGCCGCGAAGGAAGTCCAACACAAACGCTACAAGCGTTTTAAACAGGTCAAGTCTTTTTTCCTCCGCCACACCTCCGTCCCGGGGATAGGCCAGAGCGTGCGGAAGATGGTGATGACGAAGGAAGAGAAACAATTCGCGGAAGAAGCGGAGAGGGCAGCAGCCGCTTTCCAGGGTCACGGCCGGGGGGGGGTACGGGCCACCGGCACCAAACCCCAACCCAGTCGGGCGGAACACCTGGGGCCGCCAGGCACCCCCCACCAACACCTGGGGATCGGGGTACCGCCAGAGCAGGGGCTCCTTCCCCAGGCCCAGCGGCAGCGCCCCGTACCCCCGCAGGGAGCAGAAATGCTACAACTGTGGCGAACCGGGCCACATCAAGAAGAAGTGTCCCCACCCTCCCACCTCCTAATCTGGCAACATGTATAACGGACACAGTTCAGATATATATAACGGAAACTGGTAGAAACCCACGTAGATTTAGCATGTAGAGAGCAGCAAAATACTGGCAAACTGACAACAAAACTGGGTGCCTTACGAACGTCACTAACTGAGGAAGAAGAATAAAGTTTTGTCTTTTGTCATATGGTGTGCCGTTGTCATTTCCTGAAGGTCTCCTTCATGTGTTACCCCGAGTGTACCCTAAAAGAGTACCAAGTCAAAAATTAAACGGCTATATGAAGTGTGTTTTTCATTAAACGGCTATATGAAGTGTGTTTTTTCATTGGTGAAAAATTTTTCTTTTTAGCCAACCCAATAGATCTAAAACGTGAAGGCGGTAAAAGCCGGTTTCGTAACGGAAGAGATTAGCACGTAAGTGTCGGCAGCTATATGGATAGCCCCGTGTTTTTGAATAATGCGGTCTCGGTTTGGCAGCGCAGTAGGGCCTGTTGCAGGTAGCCGCTAGGTGCAAATTGGTAATGTGGGGTTGTGTGTTTAAAAGTCGTTGGCAACTTTATAATGAGATGTAAAATAAAGATGCTCAGCATAGAATGACAGAAATCAATAGATCTATTCAGAGACATAATGTCCTTGATCTATTGTAAGAATATTAGAAAATAGGTCATGAGAACAGGCATTAATGCATGAGTCGCAAAGTAACGGAAGACCTCATAAATGAGACCTATCCCCTTCGCCGCCAGCCCCACAGCGGGAGACCTCCTGGGGAGCCGCCACACGCATTAGCCGGAGCCAGAAAGGCTAATTAATACCAGTACGAGCCCTGCACCCCGTAGTGGTCAGTACAACACCGGAACCACGATCCTAATTGCCACACGGAAAGAGAATTAAGTTTTCCCCGCCTTATTTCCCCAGCATGCGGTCCTCAGTACAAGCCCCGGATACCCACAACACCAGCCCACCGCTTTCGAGCCACACCAGGTGCGCAGTCGTACGGCGCAAGAGACCACGTGGGTCACGTGGGAAGGCAATCCACGGCCGTCGCCCCAACCAGGGACCCACACAGCAGCGGAAGAGGCAGTAACCTCACAGCCCAGCGTAGACCCAACCTCACTGCCTTTCCGTGACCCGAAAAATTTCATCGCGGGGTCTCTACACCACAACGTTGAGACGTGGGCACATTTAGCAAACTTCTCAGACGAAGGCCCAAAAGTCCTGAATTGGATAACACACAAGGTCCAGGTGAAAAGTTTTTTCACCTCTTTCGAAGGCAGCTTCAAGGGACAGTCGTACAAGTCAGACACCCCCCCCTCGATCATCCTCCCAAATGCCAAAAATTGCGCCAGGCACGACGATTTCATCACTTCACACATCTTAGACAGGTTGGCAGACGGCTCCATAAAATTGTGGGGAAAAGTAGGAGAATGCAACCCGCCCCACCTGGTCCTACCACTAACCGTAGAACCGTCAAAGCCGAGATTATGCTGGGACGGCCGCTTCCTAAACCTATGGACTAAGGATTGTCCCTTCAAGCTAGACTCCATCACTGAAGCCCCCAGGCTCCTGACCAAGGGAGGGTACATGACCCACACCGACGAAAAGAGCGGTTATTCCCACATTAGCTTATCTGAGGACAGCTGGACATATTTCGGCTTTCAGTTCAAAGGATATTTCTTCGTATACTGTACGCTCGCCTTCGGCTGGAAGGCCAGCGGGTACTTATACCACACCACGGGCTCCCTGGTATCCTCCTACGCTAGACACCTAGGGATCCCAACCTCCCTGTATATCGACGACAGGTTGAACGGCGAGTTCACAATGACGTCACTACCGCTAGCAACACTAGACCATTTCCAACGGGCAAACATAGCGAGCTATGTTTTGTGCGACTTGCTAACCAGAGCAGGTTATTTCCTCAGTTTAGATAAATGCATTATCGTACCAACACAAGTATTAGTACACTTGGGATGCGGTCTAAACTCAGCAGACGGCGTGTTCTTCTTCCCGAGCGACAAGCAGACCAAATTCGTCATCCTAAGAGAGGACATCCTCCAATCCACCAGCGTAACCATCCTCAACCTACAAAGATTCGTAGGCAAGTGTGTGTCGTTCGCACTAATGATACCAGGAGCACGAATCTACACCAGACAGTGCAACAAACTGATAAGCACTATGACAAAACTCGGGCGATCCCGCACGCGGCTGACTGACGGCGCCCGCACAGAGATAGAACATTGGCGTTTCATCGACTCCGGAGTGAAACCGGCACCATGGCGAGACGAAAGACACACAGCCATCTCCATGGCGACGGACGCCTCAGGTTACAAATGGGGCGCGGTCCTACACAGCCCAACACGTCCTGGGACAGACATGAGCCTGGGGGATTACTGGCAAGGAGTCGACCAGACGAAAGACATCAACTGCAAAGAAGCGATGGCAGTCAACCTCGCACTGAGGTCAGCAAAGCCTTGGATACAAAACTCCAGGGTGACGATACGAGTGGATAACAAGGCAGTGGTGGACGCGTGGCAAGGCGATGGGGCGCGTGCCTTGTCGCTAAACGAGGAAATAAAGATCATCTTCGAGACAGTGGTGGACTTAAACATATCCCTCACAATGAGACACGTAAGGACGTCAGAAAACGAGGCCGACTACCCCTCGAGGCACATGTCAAAGACAGACTGTATGTTAGCCCCACACCTATGGGACCACATCCAGACAGAATTCGGAGGCGTGTCCGGGCATACCGTAGATCTCATGTCCCTAGACTCTAACGCCCAAAAGGACCGCCTGGGGAGAAAACTCCGTCACTACACACCCTTCCCGACCCCCGAGTCCGCGGGAGTAGACATGTTTAGTTTCGACCCAAAGATCTCTCCACAAGGAACAGAAGAAAACGCCTATGTATTCCCGCCCATCAACATGATTGGAGCCGTCGTAAACTTCCTGCTACAGAGCAAGGCCACAGTCACTGTAGTCGTTCCAAAACTATCTCCAAGGCCCCTGTGGTGGCCAATTCTATCAGGAGTGTCCAAAAAGGCTATGAAACTGTCCGAAGCAGGGAGCCGCACAGCTTTATACTTCCCGTCGAGACAAGGTCTCCAACCCGGCAAAATGTTCAAATACGAACTCTGGGCTTTCCGTTTGGAGCCCCGAGAGCAGGATCCCACATAGAGTCAGCCATCGCTAGCCAGACCCCCCCCCCCAGCAGGCACGAAACAGCACAACAACAGGTACTATGTCGCCTCTTTTCCTCCCTGTGCAGCCCTTACCGACAGTACCCCGGCTGTGGAAACCGGCCGTAGCCTGTCCAGAATGCCACCACCCCAATGATGAAGATTTCAGACGGTGCCAGATGTGCAGCTACTTGCGGAAACCCTGCCCACCCCCGCGGAAGGTCATCTCCATCGATAGAGAGGCAATCAATGACCGGTTGGAGCAGATGACCAAGATGGCAAAGTCCACAGAGTACGGGAAGAAGAAGACAGCCATCGAGAACGAGCTCGCCGATTTCCTGGGAAACTTATCACCCCCAAAAGACCTGATCACAGCGTCGCCAAAAGATGTATGTGCGTTCCTTGTGTGGAAGGATAGGGGAGGAAAAACCATTGTGCATAAGGTGAACTGCAAAAACTTTGGAAAAAAACGAAAGACAGGGTGCGGCTGCCCCAAGCGATTGGCTGCAGGGACGGTAGACTCAATTATCGGACAATTGAGATCGATTTTCGCCACCTCGGGGCGGGGCGGAGACTGGAGTGATGCAATGGGCACGGGGAACCCCGCAGCAGCCCCCGCGGTGCGTCAATACCTAAAGGTAATGAAGGCGGAGCAGGCTAATGCCATGATCCAACCCACACAGGCGCAACCAGTATTTTTCGAAAAACTGACGGCAGTTTGCAAGCACATAACACAAAAGATGAAAAACCCCGACGTGAGAGAATCCACGCTGTTCACTTTAGCCAGGGACCAAGCGTTCCTGAAGATTATGTTCTTTGCCGCAGACAGAGCCTCTGACTTGGGACGTTGTAAATCGGAGGAACTGGCATGGTTGCCAAACGAAGAAGGAGTGCTATTTAACCACACTTTCGGGAAGACTCTGCGAGATGGGACAGCGAACGCGTTCCCCATCCTAGCAGGTGCAAACAAGTCGATGTGCCCGATACAAGGTCTCCGAACGTATATCCGCGTGGCGCAAGCGTTGAAGGTTTCCCTGGCAAAAGGATACCTTTTCAGGGCGGTCAACAAAGCACAGGAAGTAATAAACGAGCCTTTCACCTACGATGCAGCTCAATACCGTTTCAAATCGTACCTGACAGAGATAGGAAGGTACGAAGGAGACACGCTTCACGGATTACGCACCGCCAGTGCGATCACAATGGCACTAGGAGGAGCCAACCAATCAGAACTAATGTCCCACGTGGGGTGGAAAGACAGAGCAACGGCAGAGCGCTACCTGCGTTTAGATAGGATATGTCATGAATCCTCTCCAGCTGCGATCCTGCGGGCGCAAACTTCAGGCCAGAGCACGAAAGCTGATAATCCTACAGAAGCTAATCAAGACCGAACACCAACAGACAAGGGATTATTCTACCAAGAAAGAAACTCTAGGAAATATAGACCAGTATTCTAAATCCGGTTTTCGTTCATTTCGGTTTAACTTCCCCGGCAGGCAGGACAGGTGCCTCAGCCGCTTTACGTAACACTAGGAGCCAGCGAGAGGCGAGGGGGAGAGTAGATAGCGGGATATGGAACGAGGAAAAGAGAGAGGTAACGCGTCGAAGTCCGAACACTGGTTAAAACAGATTTACTAGTATCCTTCATAAGAATTCGCAGAAGAGGGAGTACAGATGAAAATTTCGAGGTGTGATTAACTGAGCCCAAAGCGCAATACCTGTCAGAACATATGTATTAAAGTTCTCTGGAAGTTACACCTGATTTGGCTTTGTCCTTTTCCGTGGAAACGGTGGAAGAGAGGGAGTGCCTGTAAGTATGGGAGAGGGAAGTGATTGAGTATTGGAGAGAGAGGAGAAAGAGGGAAGGGAAATAGGAGTAGGGTGACAGAGTCTTGGGTAAAACTGGGGGCCCGACATATCGCCCATATCTTAACCCGGACAGTAGCAAAGTGACATGGGATCAGGTACTATCCCGAGTTGCTTTGCGCGCAGATAGGGGTAAGATAGAACAGACACCATATGGTCATCATTCGGGTTTCGCAGGGCAGAGAGGTGCGGGCGAACTTGGAGCCCTGAGTGGCAGAAAAAAAAAAAAAAA